CGGGCTGTTTAGTGAGTGTTTTGGAGCTGTTCTGGGGAGCGGGCTTTCACTCTACTGTGCCGAGGGCACACGGATGGTGTACGGTGAGCCTGTACAATTAGAAAAAAAAGATGTCGAAAATGCATCAGCCATTTACGTAAGTGAGGACGTTCTCTCAACTTGCTCCATATGCACGCAAATGGCTGCCCAACACTTGACAGACGTAAGAGTGAAATCTAATTCCAGCGTGAATGCAGGTATTGATCGAAGCCAACAGGGAGTCACTGATAATCGGGGGGAGATGACGTTTAGAAAGAAACTCTGATCAATGATATATGCGCTCTGTTATTCGTTCTCTGCAGACACGTCCAAAGTGAGACAGGGTTTACTTTATAGGCTTTATATAGTCAGAGGCTTACTCTAGCAATCTGCTTTGCAGAGTTTGGCCCCTGAAGATTTTTTTTCATGGGCATTATGTTGCTAGATGACAGTAGTTTGTTTTTGGAGACTTTTTGCACATATTTTTAAGTAAAAGTGCACTTGACTTGACATAACTTATTTTGGCAAATTCATGTTTCTTTACCTCCCCAAAGTATTTTAAACACATTTTTTGAACATTTACAAAAAGTTTTATATTTAAAAAAAAAGTGCACTATGTGGATTGGGTCCACCACTCATGTGTGCTGCCATGTTGAGATCATGTGACCTGCTGTGTCATGCAATGCAGCCAAACCGTTGGGTTCCCAATGTAAAAATCCCATTCATTTTCTCCACAGAAGTGATTTGTGACCTCAACTCAAATTTAAAGACCAACCTATTGTGTTCTGTGAGGTTGTAAATCAGTAGAAGTGCATTTGCTGAAGCCACCAGTCTACATTATTTCAACTGATTTAAAAAAAATCACATTTGACAGGATGAATTCTGTTTAAAACTACATTACCCATGATTCTACAAAGAAATCCCCCCTAATCAGAGAATCTACAAGGCAGAAGAACTTTAATGAAACAGCCAATGAAAGTCAGTTTCCCCTACACTCTCACGATCATGTTGTAATATCTGTACGTATATATAAGCATATTTTGAAATAATTGATTGTAATTATCAATGGATTTTATTTGGATTGTCTTTCACAGTGCTTCATAGAATCGAGCTGCATTGATCTCCCTCATTAAGGCCATGAATGTACCTTTCGTATTTTGCTTTAAGTCAAAGTTTTTGATGTGATTCTCCTCACAGCTGGTTTGGATTATGAAGTGTAACTGTTTAACAAAGACTTTCAAATCCCTATGCAAAAACAATGGAAAAAACAAGGCTGCTCTGCTACTAATGGTCTGAATTCAATAATAATAATCATTATATGGCCGTATCGTATAAGGCTGAGAGAGACGCAAATAAAGTGGCAACTTGGATATAAGGGTCGTACACCAGTTCAGTTGTCAACATAGCTTTAAAGCCACTTTTTTACAGCTAGATAAATGTAAACAAAAGCATTACCTGGTGCACCTTTTAACTTCTAGAAATCCTTTAAGTTCTGAGATATTTTCATAGCATATATGAGATTTTCCCAGTTTGACAAGTGGCAAGAGAGAAAGCTCTGCACCTACTGTTATTAAAGCCACTTATGGTTATTGTTCAGAGAGAAAAAGGTCCGTTCAGAAGTCACCGAACACGTACTTCTCAGAGAATTACCCTGGTGAAATCCAAATCGCACTAACGTCTGATGCAAGTAATCTGTGTAAACAACAGAACTGTGAAGCAGAAATATTTTTTTTAGCAAGTAGCACATCAAATAAGCGCCAATTGGAGTGTTTTCTGCTAATTTCGAAAAAAGGCTGCTGCATACTGTGAGGGGCGCCCCACTAGTGTTACATCCTCAAGAGGGGTCCAAACAATGTTCTTATTGACTGTTTTGCTCAAAGGCATTTTGTGTGGACCGTTCCCCCTCCTCCCCCTCAGGCGGAAGATACTTGGCAGCGTGGTATTTATTTTTCTACCTTTTTTGGACTATTCATCACTTTAGTCGGCGCGCCCGAGCTTATGGCCATCGCCTGTGAAGGGATTTTATGCAGTTTGTTCTCTTTAATTTCCATGGTGCATGGGCACCTTATTGCTAGTGACTGTCTGGTTTTGTTAAGCCCACGAAACCTGTGAAGTGCGGTGCCAGGTGATAAGATGGAGTACACTGAGCTGAGCAAAGACTCAAGTTATCAATGTAGATTTCATCATAGATCTGTCACGGTTTAGAGGTAGCTGTTTGAGTACCTGTTCTGCCTAGACCTGCTGCACACCAGATCTTATGCTAGAACAGGTGCTTTAACAAAACACTGGCTTTCCCTTGCTGAATGCATGCTTTTTTTCTGTAATATAAGGCTATATTAATGTATATTTGTTAGATTTGACGAGATAATTCACACAAAATGTACATTTTGTGATGATATAACCAGTTTTTTTCCAATGCTTGTATGAGTTTTGTTCTTCTGCTGAACACACACTTAAAATATGCAGATCAGTGTGGATCAAAACATCTTTTTTGTGTGTTTACAGCAAAAAAAAAAAAGGTCAACAACTTATTTTTAGGTAAATGACATTATTTTTGGATGATATGATATAAACTACAAGGAACAAATAGTCTTAAAGAAAGTTATTTTGTGTTGTCATGAACGCGACACGCAGTTTGAATTGTGAATGAATGGAGAATGATTGACAGGCGCAGTGGAGGAAAGCGCTGAACTGAACATGAATTTAACCATGTGATTATTCATCTGTACTTCACATTAAACTATAGAATGGCTTCAGAACATTTGGGATATAGTAGGCCTACATGACAACTTTCTAGTGCCTTACAAAAGGCTACCTTCATGGCTTTTGTTGGCTTATAAACACAGAATACAGCACAAGATCGGTACCAGCTGGCCGACACTCGATCCAGCAAAAATATGCAGTATCGAACCGATATCCGATCCAAGTATTGGGATATGTACATCCCTAAAAATATTCAAGTCAGTGGTGGACCACATTCTTCAAAACATCTTTTTGTGTGTTCAGCTGAAGAAAAAAATGTCAACAACTTATTTGTAGGTAAATTCCTTGATTTAGTGATTTGGGATGATGTGATTTAAACTAACAGGAACAAATAGTCTTGGAGAAAGTTGCTTGTGTTGTCATGAACGCGACACGCAGTTTAAATTGTGAATGAATGGAGAATGATCGACTGGTGCAGCAGCGGGATGCGCTGAACTGAACATGAATTTAAGCACTTGTATATTCATCTGTACTTCACATTAAACTATAGAATGGCTTCAGAACATTTGGCTTATAGTAGGCCTACATGACAACTTTCTAGTGCCTTAAGCCTGGTTTATACTTCTGCGTCAAGTGACCGGCGTAACCCACGGCGCATGCAGCGCGCGTAGCTGTGCATTTATACTTCTGCGCGCTGTCTCTGTTGGTCTGCATTAACACTTCCGAAACTCTAGTTGGCAGTGAGGTGTTAATGTTCCTCTGTGTCGAGTTTCTTCGATGCTGTTTTGTTTTTCCTGAACACTTCCGGGATGTACAAGTTGCTCAAACTCGATCATTTTTAAGGCAGGAACCGGCGGACGTGCAACAACTTTAACTATGAGGTAAACACAAAACAAAACTTTCCATCCGGAGCTCCTTCACGGGACTCCACACTTGTAAACAATCGCTCCATCAGGCTCGCACCATTCACGCGGCTCTCAGTCGCGCCCAGACTCGTCAGCGCTACCAAGCCGACCAATCACAGAGCTTGCGCTACACGTCGTTGCAACTTGTAGTTAAATTTTTTTGAGAGGTGCATGTCAGCGACGGCCACGGCGAAGGGCTATGCGTCAGCGCCGTAAAATACGTCGACGTATGACGCAGAAGTATAAATCAGCCTTTACAATAGGCTAACTTCACTGCTTAGTTCGCTTATAAACACAGAATACAGTGCACGTGCAAGATCAGATTTGAATTGGTACCAGCTAGCCGATACCCGATCCAGCAAAAATATGCGCTATCGAACCGATATCCAATCCAAGTATTGGGATCGGTGCATCCCTAGTTTCTTTAGCTCCATGTAATGTCAGTGAAGGTCAGGGTTCATTCAGGGCAAAGGTGTTTTGATTTAAATTTCGGTATACTTTTAAATTACGGCTGCACGATATTGTAAAAATTGAATTGCTTTATTTTTTATTTTTCGATTTATATATTGCGATACATTTGCATCCCCATAAAATCTAATAAACAATCTATAAACTTTTAGCTCCCCTGACACATTTTCATTGTTGTTTGTGCTATTTGTAGTGCATTACTGTATTTGCATGTGTTGTATTTTTATGCATGACTATCTATAAAAGCTAAAGCCGACTTTTCACTGTACACGACAAACGCGAGCGCCAGAGCTGAAGTCATTAATTTCCAATGGAGAGTAGT